CATGCTAAAACACTTACAGCTATTGAGAGCCTGTCTCAAAAAAAAAAAAAAAAAAAAAAAAAAAGGATAAGCACAATAGGAACAGAAATTAAAAGTATTCCAGACAGGGGAAGTATGGGCGCAGAACACAGTGGGCTAGGGATACAGCTGAGTGGCACAAGTGCCTGCCTGGCAAGTGCAAGGTCCTGAGTTCGATTCCCAGTTCCAAAAAAACAACCACAGACAGGAGAGGCACCTGGGTTGGCAGGCTAGAGTCTAGCAGATTATGCACCCAGTGGCACACCAGGGTCTTCTGCCCTCCCCACACTGAGCAGCCTGGAGATTCAGACTTCCTCTCCTGAATGCCCTTGCAGCTGGGACTCTGGATATGATTTTGGTTCTTCCCAGCAGGCCCGGTCTTAGAAGAGCCGGAAGTGAAGTGAAGCAGGGTCTGTGTGTGTTTCTGCTGCAGTTACTTCTGTGGACCTGTCCATGGCTTCTCACGGTGACCCATGGTAGTCTCCCCTTATCAGTGGGAGATATGTTCCAAGACTGCTGTGGATACCTGAACCACAGATGGTAGTGAACCCTATGTTTACATTTCTTCCCATTCATTCTTACCATAGATGTAATAATCCCAGCCTACATTTTTGGTGGTGGTTGTGGTTTTTTTGAGACAGGGTCTTGCTATTCAGGCTGGCCTTGAACTCATTATGTATTCCAGGCTACCCTCAAACTCTCAGTGATCCTCTTATCTCACCCTCTTGAGTGCTGGGATTACAGGCATGCACCATCACGCTCAGCAGCATACAATTTAAAAACTTCCTTATGTTGAAAAATTTTCAGCCCTCTCTTTCCCCACCCCTCTTTTCCTGTACTGGGAATTGAATCCAGGGCTTTTGCACTGAGCTATCCCAGGCCTTTAAGTTTTTTTAAAAAAATTTTGAGACAGGGTCTCACTAAGTCTCTAAATTGCTCAGGCTGGGCTGGAATTTGCAGTCCTCCTGCCTCAGTCTCTCAGACTGCTGAGATTACGTGCACACACCACCATACTCATCTTTTCTCTTAAGAAGTACTTTGCAGTTTCTCTTAGGCATACGTATGAAAATTGTCAGCATCATAACTCTTGCAGGTTGAAGATTTTTATTAGGTAAAGTAAAGCTTATCTGAGCACAAGCTTTGTGAGACTATGGCATTTGACCTGATACCTGGGACAGCCACTAGGTAACTAATAGGCAGGTGGTGTATACAGCATGGATACCCTGGAAAGCAACGATTCACATCCTAAGTTGCACAGGATGAAACGACACAAAATGTCATTATGCTGTTCAGAATGGCAAGCAATTTAAAACCTATGATTATTTGTTTCTGAATGCCCCACTTGGTATTTTCAGACTGTGTTTGATGGAGGGTAATCAAAACCCTGGGAAGTGGACCCATGGATAAAGGAGAACTACTCCACCCGAATGGTTCAGAAGTTTGCCCGGGTTTAGTGACAGCTTTCCACTTCGGGAGGTGGCTTCCTGGTTTTAGAAGAGGTAGCAGCTCCTTGGTGGCTGTGAGTTCTGCAGCCAGGCTGTAAAGTCACCCTGAACGTTCAATCATCCAAACAAGCCCTTAAGCCATGTTAGATCCTGTCATAAATCCTTTCATACCAGAACTATTTAGATTTTGTTCTCTGAAACTGAACTCAGACAATGTAACAGGAAAGCAGAAAATAAAATATAGAGTAAAAGCATAGTAAACAGGATAAAGTACAATAGAGACATAAACCCAATTTTAATAAAACAATCTAAACTAGACTAGATACAGATAAACTAATATATATTTTCAAATTAAATTTTCTGACTAATCTAGCTATTTGCCATATACGAGAGCCAT